CCCTGTACTCGGTGCTGGTGAGGCCGCACCTTGAATACTGTGTTCAGTTTTGGGCCCCTCACTACAAGAAAGATGTTGCATTGCTGGAACATGTCCAGAGGAGAGCAACCAAGCTGGTGAGGGGTCTGGAACACAAGTCATACAAGGAGCGGCTGAGGGAACTGGGGTTATTTAGTCTGGAGAAGAGGAGGCTGAGGGGAGGCCTTATCGCCCTCTACAACTACCTGAAAGGAGGCTGAGGTGGGGGTCGGCCTCTTCTCCCTGGTAACAGATGATAGGACGAGGGGGAATGGTTTGAAGCTGCGCCAGGGCAGGTTTAGGCTAGACATTAGGAAAAACTTTTTCACCGAAAGGGTTGTCAGGCTCTGGAATGGGCTGCCCAGGGAAGTGGTCGAGTCCTCCTCCCTGGAGGTATTTAAAAGAAGGATAGATGAGGTGCTTAGGGCCATGGTTTAGTGGTGGGATGGCAGGGTTAGGTTAAAGGTTGGACTCGATGATCTTAAAGGTCTTTACCAACCAAAGTGATTCTATGATTCTATACTCTATTCATTACACACAGATGTACTTCTTACCAGTTTTGTCCCCCTCATATGCCAATTTCCCATTGATGTTTGAGTCTTTTACAAATAAGTTAATTGAACATGGAAAAACCAAGGAGAATTCAAATATTGGAGAAAGGCCTATATAGAGGAGTGGTGCTCTCAGGAGGCTTTCTTCAAGGAAGGCTCAAGAGAAATGGAAATATCAGGCAACGTTTTATATACATACACACCTATCTCATTCCGTGTATTTCTGTGCTCTCTAAATCACATTTTACTCCATGATGTGTGATTTCACATTTCAACTATCACGTGGCTTGAAAGAATAAGCTAGAACCAGGAGTACCTACAGCACACTTAAGAAAAAGACCCCTTGTAGAAGTGAGAACAAGTCCTAGGTCTTTTACATCTGCCCCACAGAATCCAAGTTGCTCTGAGGTTTGATAGATCATCTGTGCATGGAAAATGGAAAAGAAACTCAGAAAGAAAGGCAATGCACGTTCATACCAAGAAGTATGGAGGGCTATCTCTTATGACCCAAGCAACAGTCTTATGGTCAACCAGTGTTGTAACAAGACCTGACAAACTCCCAAAGAAAACTGCAAAAATGAAAGCATAACCAACAAAAAAATATGAAGGGCTAAAAAAACATGTTAAGAGCATTATGAGAAATACACATCAACTGTCTAATGAGTGGTAAGACGTCACAGTGTATAGGTTAAAAAAAGGAAAACTAAAAGAGTAGGAACCACATATTCCATTCAACCACTGATATTTCAGCATATGGTTTAATCTTAGTAGCAGAGACAAAAATGAGTTCTCCTGACCACATGACAGGAGATTTTATTAATTTTTCCTTCAGTGAGTCAGAAGATCTCAGCCAAGATTAACTTGCCAAAGCAATACTGAGTAAAGCCTTAGAAAAGCTGGAATAGCTATAAAATACTAAAAATTATTGTCTTATCTTTGTAACTACCGCTTTGAACAATTCAAGATGGGTGCAAAAAGACAGTTGTGCCGTGCCATCTTACTTCAGAATGCAATCTGAAGACATTCTACCACCAGAGAACTCCAATTCAAATCTGAATTATCAGAAAGGCGATATGAGTTGCTTTTACAACTGGAAACCGTAGACAAACAAATGTATGTGTTAATTTCTTTGTGCCTAAAAAGTTAAAAACATATCTAAAATGCTGGCATCTGTTTTGACAACATCCAAACTCAAACATAAATATCCTTCTGCTTTCCCTTTGTTGAAAGCAATTGTCTCCTCACAAGCACTTGGAAAGACTAAACTAGACCTGCTCCTCTGTACAATTACAGGATGTAAGACTTCAGGCCACAACTAACACAAACAAAATTTCAACAACAAAGAAGACTCTAACTTAATTAAGACATAAGGCAACATCCATTTTTGAAAAGGAAGTCAACTGAATGAGTCAATTATTCTGGGATGCCGAATTTTACTGTTATGAAAATATGCAACTAGAAATAAATTTGCATCAAGTCATTAACACAGTACTGTTTTCATTACTAAAATTGGAATGGTGTTAAGCCAGCTAATAACAATAAACATATTTTGCATTTCAAGGTTAATGAAACAGTTCTATTCTTATAGCAAACACGACCACACTGAATTGCCGCCAAAACATTCCTGGGACTAGTGCTCAGAGGCAGAGGCCAAATATTTCAATACGATATAGTATGAGATGAAGGACAAAGGACTATACACTAAAAAAAAAAACCCAAACCCCTATGTGAACATGAACTTTCTCTATCACAATTAACACTTGCTGTTGTGCCTAACAACTGTTATTTTCAGCCATTACTATCCCTACAGAAACCTACTTACTGCTTGTGTTTTTCTCATGTAAGGGAAAAAAAAATAATTTAAAAGAGTACACCAACACAACCCTAGTAACAAGTGTAATAATCATAAGCAAACCTGCAACAGACCTTCAACCATAAATAGCATGGTATAAGAAAGGAACTGTAAGAAAACAAAACAACCCCCCCACACACATCTCCTGGCTTTTTTTTAATTTGGGGTGAGAGTAAGGCTTCAAAGGGGAAGCTGGATTACACCTCGTAGAGGATGATGAATATCAAGGGGGTCATGAAGCTGGCCACAACAGTTCCCTCACCCTGTTCATCCAGACTTACGCCAAGCCAGACTCATGTTTTCTCCTCGTCAGTCATTTGTCATAATCCATATTCTCCATAAGTGGCAAAACTACCTGTTAAATACATGCATATATGCTTTATGTATATGTATACACATATACTGTTGAATACCACAGTTTGATAGTTAAGATTTTTTGTTCAGTCCTACATGCTTGAAGGTTGTCTATATAACCCTTAGCACACAGAGTAAAAACAGCATATGCTTAATGGAAGTCTAACTTAATCTGAAACTATGAATGATGACTACATGAAATACCCATATCAAGTTTTATTAATTCCTAATTGTTTTCCATAAATGCACAATCATAAGGAAAAAAAAAGAAGATTTTTTTTTTTAGAGGAAAAAAAAAGTCTACCTGCAAGAAATATTGTATACAGGTAGTAATGTTATGATCACAAGGGAACCAATCTCTTCTTCTAGAGAAAAAAAAAAACTGTCATGAATATGTCATGAGTATTTGTTGGTTAGAGAGTACAAAAACGTGACATATGCTCCTGAGGCAAGTGCTGTGCTAATATTTCATTATAAAGGTTGTTAGAGGCTTCTTTTAAAATTGAAGCTTGTCCTCTATAAAGGATACTTGAAGTGAACTTAAATAACATTTAAGTTAGCTGAAATCACTAATGCTTTCACTTGATGCATAGCTGAATTCACCCAAGGAAGTGGTTTAAGTTTCTTAATATATACCCCAGCCAGTGCTCAGCATTTTAACAGTTACAATTCTGTATTTATTATAATAAACCAGGCTGATCTATATGGCTCAGTCATCAGACTACCATTAGCAGCAATCTAACTAGATAAAAGGATCTGTCATCTCTTTTGTAACCATCCCTGTGAGAATGCAATTTTTACATCTTCTTGGAAAATTAATCAATGAATCATATTTATCCTTCCTGAAAGACTGCACTCCTACTGCACAACATTTATCCCAGCAAGCTCACTACTAGAGGCAAACCACCATCAGAAAAGGCTGTGATTTTCCAACACTGTACTCTAAGTCACATTTTCAGATACTCTTAACAGAAATTTGATAAATTGGTACAGTTCTAAGAGATGACACCATCACTAGAGAGTTGGCAAATTTCAGGTATTGGAAATTAATTTTTTTCCTCAATTTAACTTTAGTGTTAGAAGTGTAATTAAAAAGAAGTCTACTTGGTTTTACTCAGAAATACATCTTTTGAAAGACAAAAAGTACGGACCTGTTGGAGCGGGTCCAGACGAGGGCCACAAAAACAATCAGAGGGATGGAACACCTCTCCCATGAAGAAAGGCTGAGAGAGTTGGGATTGCTCACCCTGGAGAAGAGAGGGCTCCAGAGAGACCTTACTGCAGCCTTTCAATACTTAAAGGGGGCTTATGAGAAAGATGGGGATAGGCTTTTTAGCAGGACCTGTTGTGATAAGACAAGGGGTAATGGTTTTAAACTAAAAGAGGGTAGATCCAGACTAGATATAAAAAAGAATTTTTTTACAGTGAGGGTGGTGAAACACTGAAACAGGTTGCCTAGAGAGGTGGTGGATGCCCCATCCCTGGAAACATTCAAGGTCACACTGGACGGGGCTCTGAGCAACCTGATCTGGTTGAAGATGTCCCTGCTCATTGCAGGGGATTGGACTAAATGACCTCTAAAGGTTCCTTCCAACCCAAACCATTCTACGATTCTTTGATCTGAAAGCAAACCTAAAATTTACTATGTTGCCTTGTAATGTTGTGTAAAAAGTTATCTGCTAGTATATTATTTGCATCAGACTCTCACAATCAGTTAACAATAACTCTGAAACATAACCAAAAAAATAAGCATGTATGCAACAGCCTACACTTGAAGATTGCATTAAAAAAATAAAAATACAAGGATGCAACTTCACATAGCACTTTTTCACTAGGACGGCTGACAGAATAAAGGGCATTTACTAACAGTTTAATTGGCTGACGAGAATGTAATAACGTGATTAAAAAGCTGACAGAAGCCAAAATCTCCTTGCCCTCAAATCCATATAGAAGCAGGACCACAACTAAAATGTCGTCAAGCTTTACCCTCTCAGAGCAGTGACATAAACCTCCAGGGAAAGCCCATGCAATTACGGGTGCTTCTAACGCAGGAAGGAACTCTCGAGCACGCTGAAGGTCACGCCAGCCACCCCGCCTGCAGTCACAGGCCAGCATTTGGCCGCAATCGAAGCACGTATATCGAACGGATAAAGCTTAACATAATACGTTACCAGCGCGAAAAGAGTTCTGTCCGCTGCAACACAAGAAAGGAAGAGGAATTCTTTATCTACCTCCCCCCTCCCGCCGGGAGGGTACGCCACTCGGGACCGCACAGCTTCCCCCGCGCCGCACGTCCGGCCGCGGG